CTGCAGCTGCTGACTCAGAACAGCAATGTAGGTCATAACGAGTTTCCTTAAGTTACCTAAGTTCCAACAATTCAGCTTTTCTTCAGAGACTTTCAAAGTGCTGTTGCAACATTTCTGAACGCCGTGACTTTTGCTGAAGCTCAGCCGCCGGCTCCGAGCCACCGGGCTGCGGCGGGGCAGCGCCCGGGGCGGGCATAACCTTTTCGGCACTCACGCCTTTCACATCTCGCTTTTATCATATCTCGCCTATTTCCACCATAACCCTATTTTTAATTCTTTTTACTCTTTTGTCTCGGAGTGTAAAAAAAAAAAAAAGTGTCAACGCTTCGCACTTCCATTTTCTTCTAAATTTTCAGAACAGAAGCAAGCTAATTGCCTACCTACTCTCTACTTAGTTCAGTTCTTTCCAGGAAGGCTTATTCACGGTTCACAGTTTGAATCTATTCTTTTATTACCACTGTTTACTACTTTCCACCACCAATCAATTTTTACACCACCAGTTAAAAGGCTATTAAAAGAGCTCAATTTTGCCATGAGTTTTGTATGCAAAAGACGGATCCGTCTTTTGAGTGACACCCAACAGTGTAAGTCTTCGAAACAGGTAATTTTCGTTATTTTTTTTTATTATTTCTTTTTCTCTCTCTCTCTGTTTGTTTTTTTCCCAGCCACCAGAGCGGTGAAAGAATTGCCTCAGTCCCCACGGAGAGCCCACAGAAGATGAGCAAGCGTCGTGTTCAGTCGCAAGAGCAGCGAAGTGGGACGGAGATCTGGCGACGAAGTTGTAGAGGAGAGGAAAACCCGGCATCAAGGGACACTTCAAGAGAGGAACCACACTAAAGGAATGTATTTTATTCACTCGGAGCTTTCCTCGGGCATTACCTGCTCTCCCCGCTCCTCAGGGAGCTCCCCAGCAAGCAGGGGCCGTGCGTGGGCTGGGGCGGGGCGGGAAGGGGAGATTTCCGAGGGACTCGCACTCTCCCCCAGAAAATCATCATCGCGAAAGCATCCGTTGTCCCGAAGCATAGCTAAGAGGGGAACTTATCCGCCCATAGAACTCACGAAAACAAGGAGCAGGGAAAAAAAATCCAAACCTCGCCCGGTCCGACGGCTGTATTTCTCCTGGGCGCACACATCGCCTACGAGTGCATCACGGGTGTTTTTAAGGGCGATCACACAACCAGTGTCACGGTCAGGCATGCCTCCAGCCTTCCTCCTTCCAGCTCCTCTCTAACCCCGCGGTGACACCCCACTGGCCTGGGTGCTAGCAAGGGAGGATTTCCTCGTCTAAACGTGGAAGGACTTGCCAACCGAGCAGGAATCCCGTAGATGTTTCCCCGAGCATGTTACAAGTAGCAGTACCAGCAGACCCACGGAGCCCCGAGGCCGGAGCCGGG